AATGAAAGATTTTAAAGGTAAAAACCTTTATTTTTAAAACCTCGTAGTTTGGTTTTAACTTAGGAATTTTATTTTAATGAGACTGAACCCTTGTTTTCAAGGCAGATTACACAAAGGATAAATTAACTCTTTAACCTAGTAATTAAAGAAAATTTTGTTATTTTTACAGTGGAAACCCAATTCTTTGTTTACATGTTACTTGATATTAAGGCTTTTAAAAATTCTTATGATTTAACTCATCAAACATTTAGTTACAATACAACAAGAGCCTTGATCATATGTCTTAGTCATCTAGTGCTGCTACAACAGAAATACCACAAGTGGATGACTTTAACAAAGAGAAATTTATTTCCTCACAGTAAAGTAGGCCAAAAGTCCAAATTCCATCAGCTCCAGGGGAAGGCTTTCTCTCTCTGTCGGCCTTCTTCTCATCAGTGTTCCCCCAAACTAGCAGCTTCTCCACCCAGGGACCCCAGGTCCAAAGGACACGCTCTGCTCCTGAAACTGCTTTCTTGGTGGTATGAGGTCCCCCTGTCTCACTGCTCACTTCTGTCTTTTATATCTCAAGAGATTGCCTCAGGACACAATCTAATCTTGTAGATTGAGTCCTGCCTTACTAACACAACTGCTGCCCATCCTCCCTCATTAACATCATACAGGCAGGATGTACAACACATAAGAAAATCACACAATACCAGGAATCATGGCCCAGCCAAACTGGTACACACATTTTTTGGGGGACATAATTCAATCCATGACATCATACTAAACAAAAAATCTTTAACAAACCTTCCAAATTCCTTGTCTTTGTTATATATATATTTTTATAGTATAATCCTTAAGCAGTAAATACATTCATTATTAAACTTAAATATGCATACACATAGCTTTTCTCTTTGGCATAAATTTAGCTGCCTTTCTTTAGTAACTTTAACTTTCTATTTAACTTTCTTATGACCTTCTATCATTTTCTATATCCATCTCAATTTTTCTTTTCTCTTTCTTAACTTGGAAAACTGGTCTCTTTCATTTTAGAACAAAATTACTATCTTTTCTTTTAACAAAACATACTCTATATATTCAATTCAGCTTAAGTTACTTAAAAAGATTCTAGAGCCTAATTTAAGTTGACATATTATAAAACAATAAAAACTTTATGAGAACAAATTTATCTTATTAATTCCTGGGAACATTAGGACTATTTAATTTATATAAGCACTTATGTATCATCGAAACAATTAGAGTAAATTCTCTGAAGAAATATTATAATCTAATTAAATAATACTATGCAGAGGTAGGTGGTTATTATATTTTCATAACTTTATTTTTGACATACTTTATGGAATTTTTTTGTGCATTGTTTTTCAATATACCAATTTACACTAAAGTTTTCACAGTGGCTATTAGAAGCTTAGGCACATTAAGCAGTTTCTCTAAGACTTAAAATACTCCTTCATGAGGAAAAAAAACTAACAACTTCTAGTCACAGCTTCTGAGACAAGACACACAAAAACTTAAACATGAAACAAGACAAACGATTACATAAATTTACTATTCTGTAAGGCTAGCTCAAATAACATGCAAGACATTCTTTTGGAATCTGATTTATTTTGACGGTGAGAGATCTAGTCTTTTATTTTAAATATTTTAATTTCTTTAATTGGAAAGTATTTGAAAGTGGTCAAAATGTTTGAGAGGATAAACAGCAAACAAAAACAGCACACTACAGTTTAAAGGAAAAATAAACTTAGGTTTCTCTCAGACAATTCTTATGCCAGCAGATGGTAGTGTTAATCTAAAAATTAAAGTACATTTCGCCTAAAACACAACAAAATTAAAACAAATAATGAAAATTAAATTATAGGGAGAAACCTTCAAACTGACTTTAATTTAGAGGCTCCTAGATTCTAACTCACTGAGCAGAAAACTCTAAATTCTTCTTAATGAGTGCATAATTGATTAATTGATATTTTCCGTACTCATTAAGAAGCCCTGATGGCGCAGCGGTTAAGAGCTACAGTGTGCTATGGCTGCTAACCAAAAAGGCCGGCAGTTTGAATCCACCAGCTCTCCTTGGAAACCCTATGGGGCAGTTCTACTCTGTCCTATAGGGTCACCATGAGTCGGAATAGACTCATTGTCAATGGGTTTGGTTTTTTGGTTTTATGCACTCAAGGAACCCTGGTGGTGCAATGATTAAACACTTAGCTGCTAACCAAAAGGTTGGCAATTCAAACCCACCCAGCAGCAACACAAGAGAAAGACCTGGTGATCTGTTCCCGTAAAAACTACAGCGTAGGAAACCCTGTACAGTTCTACTCTGTTACGTGGGGTCGCTATGAGTAGGAATTGACTCGGCAATACCTAATAACACCAAAAGAGGCTACAAAGGCAAAGACTGGAGGGACTGGCAGGCAGGTCTGGATGAGAACACAGAGGCCTGGCCCAGGCCCTTCTGGGCTAAGTACAAGCTCTCTATGTGGCCCCAGCCTCCCCCTAGCACTCCCAGGAACAGACAGCTTAGGCCCAGAAACACCACTTCTTGCCACTCTGAGAACATGGTGCCGCGCTGAGCCTCCTTGCCTCCTTTCACTCAATTTCTCCCACCAGGAATGCCCTCCCACGCTATCCCACCACACCCCACCCCCATAGGCAAGGGCCAGCTGGAAGGTTGCCTCTTCCCTGAAGCCTTATGGATTAGTGAACTCCTCTTTAGTTGCAAAAGACAGAAGATCGACTGGGTGAGCTTCCACCATCCATCTGTCAATTTGTTGTACTGTGGTAGCTTGGTGTTTCTCTGATGCTAGAAGCTATGCCACTGGTATTTTAAATACCAGCAGGGTCACCCATGATGGACAGGTTTCAATGGATCTTCCAGACTAAGACAGATGAGGAAGAAAGGCCTGGCGATCTACTTAGAAAATTAGCCAGTGAAAACCCTATGGATCACAACAGAATATTGTCCAATATAGTGCTAGAAGATGAGTCTTCCAAGTTGGAAGGTACTCAAAATATGCCTGGGGAAGAGCTGCATCTCAAAGTAGAGTCTACCTTAATGACAAGAATGGAGTAAAGCCTTCAAGACTTTCATTTGCTGGGGGTGAGCATGTGATCTAACCTTAGCTCATCAGCATATGCCATGCCTTTGCTCATGGTGATTGGTTTCTGTTTAGACACATGACCCAATTCAGCCAATAAGAGTCAATCCCAGGACTTCTGCCAAAACAAACGGGAAAAAGAAACCCCCTTTCCAGTGACACTGCTAGCAATAAAGATGATGGAGACTGGAGCTGTTGGAGTCACCACCTGGAGCCTGAGAATGAAGCTAACTCAGAGGGAAGAACTACAGAAAGATGTCGAGAGGCCAGCTTGAGTCCCTCCCTGGATCCAGCCAAGTCTGAAGGTGGTACATGTTTCAATAACGTGAGCCAATACATCTCCCTTTTATGGCAAACTCTTTTGAGTTGGGTTTCTGTCACTTACAGTTAAAAAAATCCTGACCCATACATCCAGAGTACTGAAGAACAGGGAAGTATATGCTTAAGGCTCTTAAATACCTCAAACAGAGGCCTAGCTTCAGGCAAGAGGTCCCAAAAATGCAAATCTCATATCTTTGGTGAAATTCACTGCCTACCTTTTTGGGGAGCATGATGGGGCAGAGGGGAAGGGGGCCATGATGCTAGTTTTATTTATTAATGGCAATTACATTTTGGGTATAAATTCAACAATTTTGTCTCTGGTGTTTTAACTTTTCAGCATTTCACAGTTGTAGGGGCAGTGATTAATTAGAATCTGATCTTCTACGCAAAGCCGAGGGGGTGAGAGCATGATATGAAGGAAAGAGCACTGACTCAAGAGTCTGATAATCTGGCTTCTCATCCTTATCTCACTAATTAGCAGTGTGGTCTGAGACAAATCACTTTGCTTCTCTCTGTCTCAGTTTGTGAGTCTGTAAAGCGAGCTGCATAACTACATCATCTGCAAGCACTCATCCAATTCTACAATGGAAAACCTGCTAGGACAAGTGTTCTTTGACGGCGCTGAAAACCCAGAAAAATGAACATGTGCACAGACACATAATTTTGCATAGATTTTTATGGGGCTAACAATTCTAGAGGTCAATCTCTAACTTCACTGCTCTACAGTAAGTAACTCAGACACTAGCATCTGCTTCGATCCCTCTAGTTGAACTCCTCTGGTGACAGGGAGCTCTCTTCCCTACACTATTAAACTGCTTTGAAACAAAAAAAAAGGTTCTTCAAATTGAACCAAAATCTGCATTCTTAATTTCTACTCATCGGTCCAAGTTCTCCAGAGCAAATCAGAAAACTCTGATTCTCTTCTGAGTGTTACATCTCTTAATCTTTCTGAAAACTATTTCTAGCTCTTAAGTGCAAATGATTTATGGGGAGAAATGCATATGAGTCACCATGAAAATTGTTTTACAGTACATTTTTATAAAGATGTGTTCTTCCCCCTCACTCCAGATATGCCAAACACTCAAATGTAGATGCCAAATTCCAAATAAGCATCACTGCTATTAATTCGCATGGATCTAGGTTTTGCAAAGAGGGGAAATACGGTATAAAAATATCTTGAAGGAAATAGCATAGTCTTTTGGAAAGGGCACTGCATTAAGAATCAGAAGACTTGGGGTAGAATTTTGCCCCCTACTGCAGCTACCTGTTTGTCCTTGGGCAAGTCACTTAACATCTCTGAGCCTGTTACTTGTCTGCAAAATGCGATAAAAAAACCCACCTCACAGAGATGTAATGAGGATAAATTATATGATATTCGTAAAGCCTCTAGCCCAAGCCTACCACCGACCAGATTCTCAATAAATACTAGTTCCCTCGCCTTTCCCGGATCCCGAAGCTCAGCAAGTTCAGCGTTTCATTCGATGAGCTCGGCGCTCTTTCTCGATAGGGATTTCCCCTCCCGAGCCGGAGTCTGCGCTCTAGGATCGACTGAGGCTTCCTAGCTGCTCGCGCTTTTCTCTCCTTCTCCAAGATGGCGGCGGTCGGCGGCGCTGAGGAGGGATCCAGGCGAGCCGAGTGAAGGTAGCGGCGAGCGGAGCCCCCACG